CACGCGTGCTCGTTGAAAAAGAGAGAAAGAGAGGGAGAGAGAGAGAGGGAGAAAAAGGGAGAGGGAGAGAGAGAGAGAGGGAAAGGGAGATAAATAGAGATACATACATAAATAGAGAGAGACAAAGAGAGAGAACAGTAGTGTAATGAAAGGAGTAAGTATATATTGACGATAGCAATGTATCCCTCATGATCTATAGTACGTCTTTTTGAGAGAGAGAGAGAGAGAGGGAGTACACAAGAAAATTATATATGTCTGTTCTCTTTCATCTTGGGAATGTCACTCGTGGTCATGGCCAGTTAATCGGCTGACCCGTCGTCGTTCTAATGTTAGAAAAGATTCATTGCCGAACTAAATTTATCAATGGTATTCCTTATGAGCTTGTTTATGAGAGTTTTAATTTATAAATGTCGATGACATTGAAAAAAAAAAAAAAAAAAAAAAAAGTTTTTAGAAAATTTCTTCATCTCTTTGTCTCTTTTTTCTTTTTTTCCTTTCTTTTTTTTTCTTTTTTTTTTTTTTTTTTTTTTTTTTGTTTCCTTCTTTACCTTTGTATAAAATTTTTTCAAAAATATCTAAATTTCTAATTTGAAAGAAGTGAAAACAAAAAAAGAAATAAAGAAAATAAAAAGAATAATAAAAATGTTGGTTTTCTTCTTGCATGAAAAATCAATATTAAGTGTAATCGATTGAACGTTTAGAAAAAAATTTACATTATATACATCGGCAGGTTTGGTCTTTGATCAAAAATAGATCACAGGTCATGGCCTCGTTTGATTGCATATGTATGCAATCAACTAACCGTCCAAAGAATTCACTCGTATAAACTTATTCGTGAAAGTTTTTAAATGTCAGAAATATAAATCATTTCGATTGGACGATATGTATATTTATATCTTTTTTTTTTTCTTGTTTTTTTTTTTTTTTTGGCCTTTCTTCTATCATCGTTCTTTTTTTATATTTCGTGCATATAATTACATGTAAGATCGTAATCGAGTAGTACGTTAATTAACGTCAATGATTCAGATAGAAACGTTTGATGAAATTAACATATCCCGATAGATTGGTTTAGAGAATATAGTGTTAAAAAATATGACCGTGTTATTTACTCAGGGACGTAATGCGAAGTATATTTTATATTGGTCACATCCGTTGTCCTTGATAGATTCAATAAAAATTCTGATAAGAACAGGTGTCCCCATAATTCATATTATATATGTAATCATTATATTTATATTTCGTGCTATATAAGATGAGAAAAAGAAAAAAAGAACAAAAGAGATAAAAAAAGAACGTTAATTCAATTGTCTATGTAAAACATTGAAATTGAAATGAATATTGAAATTATTAAATATAATAACACAAATTACAAGAAGATGAAGAAATTAATTATCCTTAATGATAAGTCAATATAAGGATTACTATTAAAATGAGAAGAGTATATATATAAATATAGAAGTGTTATATATATATATATATACATATATATATACATATAATAAAAGAATTTTCTCAATTTTGCAAAAAGATAGTCAACGTCACTTCCACAGTAAAGGCTTTCCAAACAAAGGCATACGTGATCCACGCAAGCAAATGATGGAGCAAAGTCATAGTCTGTAATATTTATGCCATTATCTCGATGTAACATAAATATGCGCTTTATTAAAAAGCACCAAAGATTTCTGAGATCCTGGGAAGTATCTGACTATCCAATAAGTATAATCTCGTTTCGTTCTTATATAGTAATTGAAACTATTTCGAACAATTGTGAGAAAGACCAGAAGAGAAAATCGTTGTTTTATAACATATAAATTAAGTATATACAATATTTTAATGTCGCAATACGATTGTTATATATTATAATTATATTCGTATCTATTTTTAACGAATCTCAACAATGTTTAATAATTATTTTTAAATAAAAAAACCACATGTCATGTGTAAACGTGCACAGGTTTGTAGCCACCTAGCGACGAAATGAATGAAATAGACACATGCGCTGAAACGACCACGTGACTTAAACGACTGTGGCGCGCAGATTCAAAGCTTAGCCAGGTATGACGATCGATTGTAATGCGGCTTTCAACGAACAAATGTACAATCTATATAGACGATTTTCTCTTCATAAGCTTCCGATTTGTTTATATAGACATAAATCTAAATCAATACATAATATAAATGTTATTAGTAAAAATGATAAAAATAGAATTCAATGTATCTGATAATATAATGAAAATAAATTAATATAGAGAATTAAAATTTATAATTAAATTTCATGAACATGGAAATAATTAATATCTGACCTTTGTATATTGATTAAGAAATTGAAGCGTAAATGATTGAAAATAACATTAAGACACGGTCAATCTTGATATCACTCTTTTATCTTAAGTTTATTTTGCTTCATTACTGTTCGTTGGAAATAAACATTAATCAAATAATATTAATGAAAAAAAGAAAAAAAAAAAAAAAGGAATTAAATACTCAAAGAGATTTAATCAATAAGAAATATTAACGTGATCAATCTCAGTTTCGAAAAATAACATTAATGACTTATACTTCTCAAGAGTATTCGTATTATTAATATAAAAATTTAAACAAAATAAAAAACAAAGAGAATTAAAAAAAAGAAAAGAAAAGAAAAGAAAAGAAAAGAAAGTACATCTTGAAGGATGCGACATTTTCGCGCCATTTATCGCGAAACCCAAACGCATGGCTTAAGAGACACGATTTAAAATAATATTTAACTATCGTCTCAACATCAATCTTTTACCCCCCATGGATTCAAAATAATCTGGAATGCAAGTGCGCTATGGAATTCTGGGATCATTATGTCATACCGGTATAGAAACGCGCAAAGAATTAATTGTGGCGTTCGTTAGTACATAAGAAAGGAACAATGAATCATTTAGTTACAGAAAAAAAAACAAACAAATAAAAATTGACGATCTCTTTCAAAGAAGTTACGTTTCAGTCAATGGATAGATAGGAGGAAAAAAAGAACTATATTTGTGTTGATACTCACATTGACAAAATGTGTAAGAAGAGACGACCGGTGAACGAAACTAACGCCCCAGTGTGGAAGGCAACTACACGATCAATATCCGAATACGGAAATACATCTGCTTTGGTTTCGAGTCTAACCTGATGCACGTGTACAAGTATGTTGTCGAAAGATAATACATCCGAAATCAAAGACAACGATTGTACAACGGCGCCAAATATCGAATTTAATCGTCCTCGTGGTATAACGTCTTTACTACACCATAGTTCGCTATTGTCTGTAAGCGAACTAAAGCTTTAGGAAACGACCATGTGCCAAAGACGACACATGATTGGTCCCATTTCAATCGGACTGTTATTGAAAATCTTTCGTACTACATTCACACAATCGTACAAATTTCATTTCAATATACACCTTTTTTTCTATACTAATTCTTAGGTTTTTTTCTTTCTTTTTTTTTGGTTTATATATATATATATATATATATATATACATATATATATTCTTTATCATAAGTAAACCAATTGAAACATCATTCAATGGGGAAAATTATTGAAACGCAACGTGTGAAACTGACTTGGTAGTATAATCTCGATCGTTTAATCTCGATCGATATATCGATACATTTTATCGAAACGATATATATCGAATCTTTGTAATTTTCTCAAATGCCGGGAAGTTTAGCAAAGCTACGGTCACATGGAGGGAAAAAGAAGCCGGAGAACAGTAAATGATACAACTTTATCCACAGCAGATATGGTTTCTACTGTATTTTTCCTATTTATTTTTTTACTTTGTGCGACAAAAGATGTTACGACACATAGATTAAATGTACCAAGAGTTTTGTTACCTGTATTTAATGATTTTGCTATAAATTTTACTCTTGAAGTAACGGATGGCGGCTGTTATCAATGGTGATAATAATTATTTAATTAACATAAGATTGATAATTTATTCTTGTATTAGAAAATTTATAAATTACATGTATATATATATAATATATATATATATACACATACACACACACACACGAGTATTACCATAACTTGATAACATTTATGATTTTTATCTTTGTTAGAAATATATACTGCACATAACCTGACAGAAAAAAATTTAATATGATTAATATGATTATTATGATAACAAGATGAAATTCTCAAGAAATAATTTATTTTAAGCGATCTATATTTAATTATATTTATATTATAATAATTTAACGTATATTAATATAAATGTTTAATATCTCTTTTAGGTCAACATCTCGTTTGGATATTATTCAACTCATTCCTATAAGTGAAAATTTTGATAAAAGTTGTTCTTCGAGTATTATGATACAAACTATTACTAGAGAATCAACACGAAATACAGCTATAGTTTTGGCAGAGGACGTTAACACAGGACAATTGTTACGCTGTGATGTTATAGTAGATGCAATATTTTCTTTAAATCTTGTTACTACAACGCGAGAGTTATATATCGAAGAAGCACCTGAAGCTTTTGAAGTACGAGCTTACGACGAACAAGGTATTATGAATTATAAAAGGCAATAATTAATTTTCAATTAATAAATTTAATTACAAAGAATATCACGAGTATTCATTTTAGGAAATGAATTTACAACATTGGCTGGAGTTGAATTTTTATGGAACATTGGTAATGCTGATAAACGTACACAATCTGATAATAAAATTCCTGGTAATGTATTACGATTTTTAACGTATCAGGAATCGCAATACGAAACACCTCTGACGGTGATTGATCTAGATGCGGCTGGTAAAAAAGGTCATATAGTACTTTTAGAAGGAATTCGTACTGGTACAGCAAAGGTAAATAATTTAATACATATTTATATGCAAAATTACAAATTTAAATTTTACTCGGGCTTTTTTTTTTTTTTCTTTTTTTTTTTTTAGGTTTCTGTGAAGTTACCTTATCCAGAATATAAACATGTCCCACCGATAGAAGTTGAATTAATTGTTATAGCTAATTTAATTAT